AAATTTCATGGTAAATTGGAAACAGGAAACTGTTTTTCAGAATATTCATCCAACAAACACTGAGTGCCTAATATTTAAAAAGAAGAATTTACATTAAAATTCAAAAGAAATTTTGTAAGCCTAATGTATGTTAGCACTTTGACATGTTACGTGTCATTGACTTTCTCCAAAGAAATTGTTAACCCCATTTTATGGATAAGGAAACTTTTTAGAAGTTAAGTAATTGCCCAAATGATTAATAAGTGGCAAGTTCTAAATCAGGTTCTCCAAGTCTGCAGCTGGTGTTGTTCAACTGTTCATAAATGCATGGAGGAACCAAAAGACCCATAAGGGAACTCTTTTGAATGAATTGGGGTAGTATAGGAGGAAGGTAGATGGTAAATCTGGTTGTTCCACAGTCATTTGTTTGTACCTCTATCATGACATTTATAGTCTGTCTTGTACTATTGTTACTTGTATATGTGTCTGTCTCCTCCATTAGATTGGGTGTTACTAGAGAGTAGAGGCCATGTTTATCTCATGTATCTTGGTAACTAATTCAAATTCATTTAAAAACAGACTGGGGGGCTTCCCTGGTGGCGCAGTGCTTGAGAGTCCGCCTGCCGATGCAGGAGACGCGGGTTCGTGCCCCGTTTCGGGAAGATCCCACATGCCGCGGAGCGGCTGGGCCCGTGAGCCATGGCCGCTGAGCCTGCGCGTCCAGAGCCTGTGCTCCGCAAATGGGAGAGGCCACAACAGTGAGAGGCCCGCATAACGCAAGGAAAAAAAAAAAAAAAAAAACAGACTGGGCATCTCTCTCTCTCTTGTTTTTTGTTTTGGCTGCACCGAGTGGCATGCAGGATCTTAGTTCCCTGACCAGGGGTTGAACCCGTGCCCCCTGCAGTGGAAGCATGCAGTCTTAACCACTGGACGTTAGGGGAATCCCTGGGCATCTCTTTTTGTATGTTGTTTTTATTTCACAGTACTTGACATGGTATCTTGCATGCACGTGCTCAGTAAATGTTTGAATTAAATTGAATCCAAGCCTCTTAGGACCAGTTGCCTTTGAAGAAACTGGTGGTGCAGCCCATATCCTAGCAGCTCTTCTCTTAGCAGGCTCAGCAGGGTTGGGGAGCCCAGTGACAGAATAGCCGAGAAGCTAGTATTTATCCTTCTCTTGTCCTCTGAGAGACATCTTGGTGCCAGAGTCCATTAAGCATGGTAGGGAGCACAAGCATAGCATTGAGATTTGGGATTTGGCTTAGCCCAGCCATAACCAAAGAAATGCTGAGGCGAGATTGGTGTTGGTAAGTTGGAAATAGCATTGGACTAGAAGTCAGAAAACTTCTTTTCTGTACTTGGTCTTGATACTTTCCAACTTTGTGACTTTAGACAAGTAACATATCTCTGAGCCTCAACTTCCTCATTTATGTTATGGGGATAACAAGTTTCAAGGCCAGTGCAACCTCTAATCTGAAGATGGTAAATTCATTTTACCCAAGCCCTGAGTTCAGTTGAGATGATTACTGAATTTTCTCCCCTGAGCTATTTGATTAATTGGTCCCAGGCAGACTGTGTGATCATCTAAGACAGGTGCCATTCTGTTAATTTCAAGTCTGACTGCTCCCTAGGAGACACAGTGATGGAAACACCTGCTGCTGGAAATAGGCAAGAATGTGTTTTCTCAACTGAACAGTTGAGTGCATTAACCTTTCCTTTGGGAAGAGGCCAAATTTAGGTCTATTATGATATTTCCTCAAAAGATAATAATGTGACACTGGAGCTTCAGTATTGAAAAGTGAGATTGTTTTAATTTATAGCAGCAAGGTGATTTGGGCTCCAACTTCCAGGTGCTGCTTTTAAGTTGTTTAGATAATTATGCCCTTAAATAATGATGTTAGACAGAATGAAGCATTTCAGCCCTCTTTCTAGAACCCTGGAGCAAAAGCCAAAGTGCCTTTAGTTGGTCCAGAAAGAAGGGATTTTCTTTTATTGCAGTTAAAAATATTGTCTTCTTTATCCATGCGGCCCTGTTTTACAGAGAACAACTCACTTTGTGAACTCGGATAAGTACTTCATGTCTCTGGTCTTCACTTTCCTCATTTGAAAAATAACAGGATTAGATCAGCTAATCTCTAAAGTCCACCTTGCCTTGATTTTAAGTACTAGTATCTGCCTGGTTTTACTGTTTCTTTGGGAATATCTGGTCCCTAACCCAGCGTAGCATATTCATCATTGTAAAACAAGAGTTTAGAAATTTTGGTGCTTAACCCATTCTTTTTTTTTTTTAATAAATTTATTTATTTATTTTTGGCGTTGCTGGGTCTTCATTGCTGCGTGCAGGCTTTCTCTGGTTGAGGTGAGTGGGGGCTGCTCTTCGTTGCAGTGCACGGGCTTCTCATTGCGGTGGCTCCTCTTGCTGTGGAGCATGGGCTCTAGGCTCATGGGCTTCACTAGTTGTGGCACGTGGGCTCAGTAGTTGTGGCTCACGGGCTCTAGAGTGCAGGCTCAGTAGTTATGGCGCACGGGCTTAGTTGCTCCGCGGCATGTGGGATCTTCCCGGACCAGGGCTCGAACCCGTGTCCCCCGCATTGGCAGGCAGATTCTTAACCACTGCGCCACCAGGGAAGCCCCCCCTTCTCCTTCTTCCTTCCCCTTGTTTTAGTTATGTTTAAGCCAAAACAGTGATTGCCCAATATGAGATAACTAATTTTAAAGTCACTGGAAAGAACAAAGTTTATATGTGTAAGATCGTATTGAATATTTTATAAATAATAATGAATTTAGTGATAAATATAGTGACAACTTTAATCCCAGTCCACAATTGGGGGGTGGGGTGGGCTGGAGGATAGACAGGAGGAGAGCAATAGAGGTAGAGGCTGGGATAATGATTTATCTGGCAAGGCTTTTGGGCCTTTTGTTTCTATTACATATTGCATATTACATAGATCCATCAAGCCTCTAACTTCTCCATTTTAGGTCAACTCTGCAAAAGACAACTCTTTTTCTCTCTGATTACATCTTTTCAGGTTCTGTCAGATGTCTGTGTATTGGCTTTTTCTCTAATTGTCTTGATAAAACCCAAGACTCTGGTTTGGAGTGAAGTGGAGCAAGCTGTATGGTCTGGTTGGTTTGAAGTTTAGGAAAAAGAGATGTCCTACATGATCCATTTCAAGTTATTAAACTTCTCCATTTGGATTGGAGGCCTCAGTTCCAGATAATATAAAGTGTAACTTTATTACCTAATTTTCTGCTGTTTGTTCCTATATCTTTTTGAGGGATTTCAGTACATGTGGGATTTGGGCATTCCTAAGTACTGTCATGCCATCTGACAAACACACCAATCTCACCAATGTTTTTAATATGATCACACATACCTGTCAGTCTAAACTTCAAAAAACCAAAAAAAAAAAAAAAAGCATTGCAGTACTATTTACAATAGCCAGGTCATGGAAGCAACCTAAATGTCCATAAACAGAGGAATGGATAAAGAAGATGTGTTACATATATACAATGGAATATTACTCAGCCATAAAAAGGAATGAAATAATGCCATTTTCAGCAATATGGATGGACCTAGAGATTGTCATACTGAGTGAAGTAAGTCAAAGAAAGACAAATACCATATGATATTACTTACATGTGGAATCTAAAAAAAAGCTACAAATGAACTTATCTATAAAACAGAAATAGAGTTACAGATATAGAAAATAAACTTATGGTTACTGGGGACGGGGGATAAATGGGAAGATTGGGACTGATGCATACACGCTACTATATATAAAGTAGATAATAAGGACTTACTGTGTAGCACAGGGAACTCTACTCAATACTCTGTAATGGTCTATATGGGAAAAGAATCTAAACAAGAGTGGATATATGTATATGTATAACAGATTCACTTTGCTGTACACCTGAAACTGACACAATATTGTAAATCAACTATACCACAATAAAAATTTTAAAAATTTTAAAATTGGGGAATTCCCTGACAGTCCAGTGGTTAGGACTCTGCACTCTTACTGCTGAGGGCCCAGATTCAATCCCTGGTCAGGAAACTAAGATCCCACAAGCTGTGTGGTACGACCAAAAAAAAAACTTCAAAAAGAGCATGTTTGATGGAACATCACTTTTGGGCAGTTTTGCAGCAGACAGAGGCAGTACCAAGTAGAAATTCAGGGAGACAAGGTTAAATGCTATGGGAGAGAGATTCTTATTTGTGTGACAAAGATTCTTTTTTTTTGTCTTTATAGGTTGCTATGGTGACAGACTATGGAGCCTTTATCAAAATCCCAGGCTGTCGGAAGCAAGGTGGGAAACTATAACTTGAAATTCAGTGCTCTCATTTCACTCTCTTTTTTGTCACCCCCACCACAGTTTAATTATAGGCTCTACTTTTTTCAGAGAGTAGTTTGTATTTTTGGTGTAAAGATACGAATACGGACAGTTGATGACAGTTCGTTTTTAGCAAGTCAACTCAGAAGAATGGTGCTCTCTGACTTGTGGGGAGGGCTGGGGCATAACCACTTGTGTTCACTTCTAGAACTGACTCTTCCCTAAATTTCACCTGTGATCCTAGGGCGAGTCACTTGACCTCTTTTGGCATAGGGTTTTGGAGAGGGCAAGCTACTTATTCTCTGAGGCCAACATTGTGAGTTTTCTGGTATATGGCATGTGGAAAGGAAATAGTATTGTAACCAATACAAATATATATAATGCTTTACTTTTCTTCACAATTGATAGGTATCTATTGAACATTTTTGGAGTATCCTTTTCACATCTGTAATCTTACTTGTTTCTCAAAACAGTTGTGTTAAGTAGAAAAGGTAGGTTCCACAGACTGGTGGCCTGCTCAGAATGATTGAGCTAGGTCGTGGCATGGCCAGGACTAGAACCCAGGCCTCCTGATGCCTAGCCCAGTGGGTTTTCTGCTCTGTTACACTGCTAGTGAATCAAAAGACTCAACTTGCTAATTCCTTGTGCTAAAATAAATGAAAGATTTATTAAAGATTTTAATGTAAAAGATGTAACCATAAGTATTTTATTAGAAGAAAATAAAGAAGAATATTTGACTATATAAAAGTCAATATAGGGCTTCCCTGGTGGCGCAGTGGTGAAGAATCCACCTGCCAATGCAGGAGACACGGGTTCGAGCCCTGGTCCGGGAAGATCCCACATGCTGCGGAGCAACTAAGCCTGTGCGCCACAACTACTGAGCCTGTGCTCTAGAGCTTTTGAACCACAGCTACTGAAGCTCGCACACCTAGAGCCTGTGCTTCGCAACAAGAGAAGCCACTGCAATGAGAAGCCCATGCACAGCAATGAAGACCCAACGCAGCCAAAAATAAATAAATTTTTTAAAAAAGTCAATATAGAATTATATTTGACTAAGTAAAAGTCAAAAACATGATTGCAAAAATCATCATAAGCAAAGTTAAGTTAGGAAAAAGAATTTTCAGTCCATATCACACATAAAAAAGAGGAAAGTAGGAAAAGGGGCCAAGGATATGAAAGGATAATTCATAGGAGAAAAAAATAGCAGTTGAGCAGTAAATATCTTAAAAGATGCTCATTCTCAATATTGATTAAAAATATAATATAAATATAAACTGATATATCCATACAATGGAATACTGCTCGTCAGTACAAAGGAATGAGAATGAGGTATTGATACATGTGACAACCTGGATCCATTTCCAGAAAATTTTGCTGAGTGAAAAAAGCTAATCGCAAAAGTTTACATATGTTATGATTCCATTTATGTAACATTTTTTAACAGCTTTTTTGAGACATAATTCACATACCTACATTTCATCCAAAGTGTACAATTCAGTAGTTTCTAATACATTCTAACATATTCACAGAATTTTGCAACCATCACCACAGTTTGAGAACATTTTCGTCAGAAAAAAGAAACTCTGTACCTATTAGCTGTCAGTCCAAATTCCCTATCTCCCTCTCTCCTCTGCCCCCAGCCTTAGACAACCAGCTATCTACTTTTTGTCTTTATGTATTTGCTTATTCTGGACATTTCTTATAAATGGAATCATACAACATGTGGTCTTTTGTGATGGGCGTCTTTCATTCACCTAGCATCTTTTCAAGGTTTACCTGTTTTGTAGCATATATCAGTACTGCATTCCTTTTATTGCCATTCCAAAATGTGTGGAATCAACAGCCAATTCTCCGGTTCTCTGATTCTTTGATAGCAAGTGGGCGTCCAACAGTTCAGTTAATTCTGACACTAACTACCCAGAGGTACTGTCAGACTCTACAGGTTTAAGGTCTCAGTCTCACAAGACTGCCCTCACTTCAAGTGAGGGCAGTATCCTGTCCCTGTGTTACGCACACTTCTGTCTGACCTGGCTATGAATTTGAAGGTTCCCACACCACCTTCCCAAGATTGGATAACTTGTTGGAACAACTCACAGAACTCAGGAAAATGCCATACTTAACAGTTACAGTTTATTATAAAAGATACAAATGAACAGCCAGGTGAGGAGGTACATAGGGTAGGGTCCAAAAGGACCCTGAGTGCAAGAACCTCTGTCTCTGTAGAGTTGAAGTTCATCACCTTCATGGTGCGTGGATATACTTGCCAACTCAGAAGCTCTCCAAACCTTATCACTTAAGGGTTTTTGTGGAGACCCCATTACATGGCCATAATTGATTAAATCATTGGCCACTGATCATTTAACTCCATCTCCAGCCCCTCTTCCCTCCCTGGAAGTTGGAATGGGGCTGAAACTTCCAACCTTCTAATCACACGATTCCTCTGGTCGTTACCATCTCCCATCTTGAAGCTCTCTAGCATCTGACCAGTAGTCACCTCATTAGCATAAACTTGGGTAAGATTGGAAGGGTCTTGTTATAAATCACTAGATGCTCCTATCACTCAGGAAATTCCGAGAGTTTAGGAGCTCTGTGCCAGGAACCAGGGACAAAGACCAAATACATATTTCTTATATATACCACAGTATCAGTGCCGATAGCCTAGTTGTGATAGTTTTGTGATATCCTAGTTTTGCCAAATGTTACCATTGGAGGAAACTGGGTAAAGGGTTCATAAGATCTTTCTGAATTATTTCTTTCAACTACATGTGAATCTAAAATTATTTTAAAAATATTTTTTAAAGTGTTGGCTATTTCCAACAATAGTTCCATTTACTATTGAGAACGTAAATTGTTACATGCCTGTTAATGTTTTTAATGTTCTTTTGATCCAGCAGTTCTTTAGGGAATATAGTTTGCAGTATGGAATTAGATAAATTATGTACATCTATGCAGTGAACTATGCAGATGATAAAAAGAATGATAACTGTATTTCTAAGATACTTTGGTGCTGGTACTGTCTTCCTTTTACCATAAGGGTCAATGGAAAGTTTTTATACAATTCCACCACACCGATACCTGACTGATAGCAGTTTTAAGACACCATTGGTTATAAGAAGCATTCCAATTTCAGAGATGTTAAAGTGAGGGGGGAAAGTGCATCAGTAAAACAGGGTAAGTCTCAATTTACTGAAATGGAAAGGTGTCTAAGCTAACAAAATGAAAAAGCATGTTGCACAAGAATTTGTATAGCATGACCCTTCCCCCTTTTAAAGCATGTTTACATATGCCTAGTATTTTAAACATTATTGCATATATTTAGAAGAAAGTCTGGAAGAATAGGCAACAAATTATTAACAGTGGTCACCTCTAGGGAGCTTGGTTTGCTAAGGGAGAGATGTACATGGAAAAGGGACTTTCACTATTTGCAATTCTTTAAAACAAAATTTTTCTTTTACAGAAGTCCAACAGCTGATTTTGCTAATAAAACCATACCTCTAGCCTTGGAGACTATGTACTCTGCTACAAATTGCATCTTGGCGAATTAGAAATGGCTCACCAGTAGTTTCCAAGCTCGCAATAAGCAATCTGTAATAAAGTTTCTCATTTTACGTTCACTGGGATGTAATGAGGTGTAACTTATCCTCATCCCTATAGGGTATGCACCTCTTTTGATCTGAGGACAGCTTTTCTTGTCAGTGTACTTGCCATAGCTGCCAGTACCTGAAAGTCCCATCCTTACTTGAATATTTATGTGACACTTTGGGGACTGTGTGGCAATTAAAGGCCTGCCATCTTCCAGCAGTTAGTCTTCAACTCACTTGTGTCCATAGCCTGTCAGGTGATGCCTCTGATTGTGACTGCCAGTTTACAAGTCAGTCTGTCAGTGTGACAGCTGTGCTAAGACAAGCCTTGGAAGGGTAGCTCAGGGAGCCAAATAATTAGATGGAAACTCTGTGAGTTCTAATCCTGGGCACTTCTGTAGGTTCATCGGGTAACTGGAGCAGTTACAGTGTTTTTTAGCTTCTCCACCCTTGAATGGAGGAAGATTATTAAGTCCCACCCTGAAAGGACTGAGTTATGAAATAACTGGTCTGTAGATTTTAACATCTCTCATTCAGGAAGGTAGACTCTAATTTGAGTTATTTTTCTCAGATTTCTATTTTCAGAAGTTTTTAATCACTGCTGAGTTAAAGACCCCTTCCTAGTATTGAAGTCTAAACTGGATTTTCCTTCCCCTCTCATGGTGTTGTCCAATAGAACTTTCTACAGTGATGGAAATGTTCTATATTTGTTCTGATGTGTTTTCTAACACCAACCAGTTCTCCAGTTCTCCGCGCACCAACGGGGTGTCTAACAATTCAATTCAATTTTGACACTACCGGAAGTCAGGTCCCATAAGTTAACGGGGCTCATTCCCACAAGAATGCCCCCACTTGAGATGCTAGTCACAAGTTCTGAGCCACCCTTATTTCTAGCTGACCCACTATGAATCAGGAGTTCCATTGACCCCCTCCACAAATTTGATAATTTGCTAAAATGGCTCACAGAACTCAGGAAAACACTTTCTTTTTGTTTGCTGGTTTATTATAAAGGATACAAACAGGAACAGCCAAACGGAAGAGATGTATAGGTTAAGATATGGGAGGAGGGGTACACAGAGCTTCCATGTCCTCTGGCATACCACTCTCCAGCAAGCTGAGGTGTTTACCAACCCAGAAGCTCTCTGACTCTCATTGTTCAGGAGTTTTTATAGAGCTCTATCTCCAGCCCCTCCCCCAGGAGGTCAGTGGAGCTGAAAGTTCCAATCCTTTAATCACTTGGTCTTTCTGGTGACAGTTCCATCCAGAAACTATCAAGGGGCCCCACAACCAAGTCACCTCATTAGCATAAACTCTAGTATGATCAAAAGGGGCTTACTATGAATTACAAAGACACCCCTATCACTGGGGAAATTCTAAGAGTTTTAAGAGTTCTGT